AGTTCTAGCAGATTTTGTTCTAATGTTTTCTTCATGAATAGTTTTTTCCCTTTATGTCTCTGAATATAGTTATCTTGTTCAAAAATACTAATATGTAGAGAAATATAAAGAAGAAAATATAAGCCATCAGAAATCTTATCATCAAATATTACTTGCTAACCATTTTACCTGCTGTTTCTCAAGGCATAGTTCATACATGGTGCATATGTTTCAAATGTACTAAGCTACGTGCTGTACCAATAGTTTAAGCCCTAGATTTTCAATTTATAGTTACATCATTACCATACTGATTTTTTCAACTTTCCAGAAGTATAACTTTACCAGCTTAACAATGATACATACTTGAATTTTCTTTAACTATTATATGTTTTAATTACTTTCAACCTCTCATTTTTATAAATAATGCTTCAATAAATATCTTTGTACTTAAAGTTCTTGTGTTTTAACCTAGAATATTCAAATCTATTGACCTGTTTTCTTTTATGATTTCTTCTATTGGCTTTGGGGAAAATAAGAGCATCTCCATACAAACATCAGAATGTATATTATTTGATTTCTTTTCTTTCATGTCCTTTGTTGTTTAAAATAAACAAATTTAACAACTTAATATATCAGGGCTATATCTCTGCATACTTTGAAAGATTCTAAGTGTATTTATTATACATTTAAGCATAAGTCAAGTCAAGCACAAATCACCTGTCCAGAATTTTTCAAATGCACCTTCATCGTTTTAAAAGAAGTGCATGCTTCCTAGCCTTGGCTTTCCACTAGGCCTGAGAGCGCCTTTAGGACTGGCAACGTGACTGACCGGGGCTTTGATTATCCGCAGGAAGTCCTGCTGGGCCGGGAGGAAGAGGACCTGTGCACAGGTCAAGTTAAAACGAAACAATCAGGAAGTTCGTAGTGTTCCTAGTTGTATTATTTTAGCCTTAAAAAGTCTCAATAGTTCCAAAATGGGCTTACTTCGTGAGAAACCAGTGGTCCATGTTGTGGCTTTGTTCTCCATATGGATTGATCACCACTGGTCCCACACAGTGACCCCAGTCAACCTCCATATCCTGCTACTGTCACCAGAGCCCAGTCTTTGGTCACCGAGAGGCAGAAAGCAGCGCAAGTGCTCACCACGCTCCTCCCCAACAGAAAAGCAAGACAAAGGACATAACCTTACTGAGGGTTGAGTGGGTTAAGAGAAGAACTTCATTTGTTCATGAAGAACTGTTCAGCTGTCGATATGTACATTGCTGCTGCTCATTCATGGTAAACCCTGGCTTGCTTATTCATCAAGCCCACTCCTTAGTGATTGGTTGTGTTTTGCTTTGTTTCACCCTCTCCTCCACAGCCCTCCTCTAAGGTACAATACTGTTATTGCTACTTGCAATGAGTTCAGAATTTTAACCAAAACTTTCTGGGACGGTTTCCTCAACTGCCACTGGGGATAGTAAAAGGCTTCCCCCTTTCGGATCGTTGTGAGGATTAAAGGAGAGACTTGGAATAAGGACTGCACTTAGAGATGCTACTTAAGTGACAGTTATTATTTTTATAACCTCAACAGTTATTATGACCTATGCCATCAGTCCTTACCATTGCTGCCAACCTCAGAAATGCCAGGAGGTCAAACTTAGATGAGGTTCTTCAGAATGAAACAGGGAACTGGGGAAATGTATGGTTGGATCAGCTCTGGCCATAAAGTTTCCTCAACCTTGGCAATAGCTCTGACAAATCAGTAGGTACTCTCATTACTAAAAGAGTGAATTTCCACGGTGGGGCCGTGGCAATCTCCTATCCTCACTCCCATTTTGATACATAAGTAGTACACACACCCATACACACACACACACACACACACACACACACACACACACACGCCTTCAATAGACCAGGTCAAGGCAGGAGCCAGGGGTGTTAAACCTGGGAGAGGCAGGAGTGGCACTGATCATTGAACCCACGAGATAAGTGTAGCAAAGCTATAAACTGCAGATCAAGTTCCTTCAGCTCCTAAACCATCCACTACACCATGGGCAGTCAAAAGGTGGAAACAGCCTTAACTGTCCACTAACACATGAGTGGATAGACAAAATGTGGTACATACATACTAAGGGAACATTACTCCACCATCCAGAGAAATGGAGCCCAGAGGCACTGCGGGGACTGGTCTATGATCTGCAAAGTCAGCAGTTCAGAACCACCTGCCACTCTTCCGGCGAAAGACAAGGCTTTCTACTCCTTTAAGAATTACAGTCTTGGAAACTCACAGAGGCAGTTCTACCTAGTCTTCCTGAGTCACTCCGCGTCACCAGCAACGCAGTGACCTAGATCACGGAGAGAGAGAGAGAGAGAGAGAGATGCTGACACGTGGCGTAACTTCACAGGAACTTTGGAAACACCACGCTGAGTGAAATAAGGAAGTCAAAAAAGATAGTGATTGTACAAACTCACAGGAGTTATCCAATATAGGCATATGTATTGAGACCAAAGTTTATCTTTTAATAGTTATCAAGGGTGGGAGAGAGGGGGAAGGAAGATGTGAGCTTAAGAGTTATGGAGCTTTTGTTGAGGGTCATGGAAAAAAATCAGGACCAGTTCATGGTGATGGTTGAACAAAGATGAACACAATGTCACTGACCTGTACATGTGAGAGCTGCTGAAATGATAAACCTTTTGTTATTAGCGAGAAAGACCCAGAGAGAGAGAGAGAGAGACCGTGGTAGGAAAGTCAGCGTAGCTCGACGTGAGCAGAGCAGACCGATGGGCGACAATCAATGATGGTTCAGCCCATCTCCACTAACACAGTGACTCCAAGTTGCTCCTTGCCTTTCTTCTCTTCAACGGCCATTCCACGTTCCTGATGTGTAAGGTGTGGGCCAAGCAGTCAAGTTGAAATCATCCGTCTAAGCATGTGTCTCCCACCTTTGAAACTCAGAACCATGTCAAAGCAAAGTCAGAGCACCTGCTTCTGGGACATCCTCGGCGGTTCATGAGTCGCCTTCTGAGATTCATGAGACAACTTGAGCAAGAAGTCGTGTTGGATAAAAATTAACCATATCAAGGATTACCTTTAACACAGACGATACGGAACAAGGAACATGCCTGTCTCTGCTTGACTTCAGCCCAAAGTCACGGTTGTAATGAAATGAAACCAGCTCAGTGAGATGGGAGCAGGAATGACCACGGGTGTCCCCAGCTCAGCATCCGAAATACCCATCTGACTCCTCAAATGGCAGAACTTTACCACCGCCACCACCTGCTCCCTTTTGGAAGAAACTGGTTTTAATGATAGTAGTCTCTGGGAAACCCCCAAATCTGGTTTTTAGGGTGTTTCCCCTTTACCCTAATCCCTTATCATACTGCTTATTTCCGTCTCTAATGAGTGGCGTTCTGCTTTGCTATTATCCCAAGGGAAAGAGCCGAGGAAGCCTCTGGGAACACAGATCTTCCTGTCATCAACGCGCTTTCGGTAAACTTGTAAGGACCCTCATCTGGGCCCACGAAGGCACCATCCACAAGCGGAAGGTCTCAGAAGGTCTCAGCCCATTCCCGTCAGGCTGGCATGCACAAAGAAGTCTTCGTGCACAATTTCAACTGACCGCACATTAAGAGTGAAGAATAACAACGGCACCCCTCCTCAGTAATCGTATATATAAAGTCGGTCACCTCCACCCTTTGCCCTTTCTGCTTTTGGAATGCCAAGTTGACCAAGTGGATCTGCTGGTCAAGCAAATAGCTCCAAGGTGAGGGTCAAGCAGATAACTGTTTCCTGTGTGCTGGGGGGTTAATTACCGTCAGTTCTGTCTGCCTAGCCTAGCAATGGAGCCATCGTGTTATCCTTCGGCCTCAGAGGAGATGGGCACAGGGGTCCTTGCAGAATGACCGCCTCACCACAGTAAGTACGGATTTCTTTGAAGTCCTTATTTCTTCCCTTCTCACTCTCTTTTTCTCTTTTTCAAACAGAGCAGAGCATGAAGGAATAGATTCTGCCTAGGGTTGTATTCCCCAGCGAGGAGAATTAAAACGGCAGTAGCAGAACCTGTGAACATATTTTAAATGCTAGCTTACATTGCCTTGAGAACCGGAAAGAAGCGAGAAGCCAGGGAAAGCTACGTTTCAAGAAGGGTTGCAAACTTTCGAACACCACCAGACTCAACTGTATACACACATACATACACACACACACACAGATACACACACATGCCTATAGGATTGCTTTGTTGACAAAGAGTGGATTGCTCTTTAGATCTTTAAATGAAGGGAGCTGGTATCTTGGCATTTCATTCTTTCACCTTAATTTCATTTGACCACTATCAACATTGCTCTGGTGTTGTACAAGGCACGACTCCAGTTTTACAGTCATGATTTACCCCACCTCGGATCTAGTCTTCAAAGGACAAAAACGCTAAGCTACCTGGATGCTCTGCCCAAATCGATTCTTCGGCAGGCCTTTTAGGAGGTATAACAGAAAAGATAAAAAAAGAATCTGACTTTTCGGACAGAGAATTAAAGCAGTCACCGGGGGTGAGCCGTCACCGTGGGCAGTAGGCCCAAGGGAAGACTGTGCGTGAGATAAGCCTGCGCAAGCGAGGAGAGGGGCGACATTGCAGGCCAGCCACCACGCACTGCTGCCCGACGTTCACAACGTCAATAAAAGCCAACCGTGAGATTGAGGAGCTTGTGTGAGAAGACACCAGGAAAGGCAAGCCGAAAAAGGAACTGCACAACAGCTTCCAAACCAGTACAGATCCCAAGGCTGCCCTTCCACAGCATACACGCCGTTGCTTCTTGGCGTCCACTTGTCGTTGGCAGTGTCAAGCCACGCACACATGCTATGCCCTCCCCCGACCTCCCCACACCCATAGGGCCAGCAAATTCACATCATTTTCTAAAAAGAAGGCGGCAACAGAGTGGCTGCTGCCGGGTCTGTCAGCTCCCTCACACACACCCCAGCTCACTAGGCAGGCAGAGAATCCGACATCTGCAGCACAAAGTTCAAAATGTGATTTACTAACCTGGCACCCCTGCGGAAGCCGCCGCTGCATGGTGCTTTAAAGAAAGACTCTTTGCTCTTTGCTATCCAGCTAATCTCCGCAGTAGCTGACAGCCAGGGGGGCTGGGGGGGAGTTCTTTTCCTTATTATCCTGCGAATCCACAGAAACAAGGAACACAATCCTGTTCCCTGGCTGGGGCAGGCAGACGCCCTAAAGGCAATGGAAGTCCTAGCCAAGCCCACAAAGCACTGCGGCCTATAAGCTGTAGTAATGAACTTGAAACCACTCCCCATATGGTAAACAGACGCAGCAGGGCTGTCAGAAATCAAACCCAGGAGAGACTGAGGGAAGGCATGGGATTTCATTTCCCAGCTTGCTGTCAAAAAAACAAAGCAAAACAAAGACGCTAACAGACTTAAGCAACGCGAACTCTCATGCCCTCCCTGCCCCTCAGCTGCTGTATTAACGTCACTGGTGGATTTTAAACAAGGCGAACGCGGCCTGCCTTCTGCGAGGGCCATGCGGGACTGATATGCCATTGTCAAAGTTGAGGGTGACGGGAACACGTAGAACAGCAGCTTCACGTTGCCTACAAAAGACACAAGAAGACCTTGTTTCTGAGAAGCAAGCACATCACATCACTCTTTTCGGGTGCTTCCAGCACTCTGTTGCTGTTACTGTCGAGTTGACTCCATGAATCATGCCTAATACTTCATTCATCACTAAAGTTAAAAAAAAAAAAAGATTAAAAATCAGAGTTCAACCAAGAACTGCCTGACTTCTAGTTTTGACTTAGTAAACAAAATACCATTGTAACTTAGTTTCACCCTCTAACTCAGGATCTGTTGACAGTATGAAAAGAGCCTGCTGTCTTTCAGACTCTATGTTCTCAAAATAAGAAATTCAATTTTTTTATTCTAGAAAAATATAAATGTTGATTTCCTTAGAAGAGTTAAACCTTGAAACAGAACCATCAGTAGGCCAGCAGATGGCTAAGCAAGAGTACCCGTGCTTGGCTGCAGAGCATCGTGCTTCGCAGAATGCATCCTTTGTCTAAGGGCTCGCTTCTAATCCAAACATTGGTATCAAATATGCCAAGAAAGACTTGGGTCACTTGTTTCCAAAAATCTTTACATGTATTTCTGGTAAAATATCAAGTTAATGGCAAACAAAACATGAAATAGAAATCATTAGGGTACTGACGCCACAAAGCTGAGCCTGCCAAGTCAGGGGACTCTCTCAGACCCCCACACTCCCCCTGCTCACCATCCACTAGTCCGAATCTTCCCCGGCCCTTATTTTAGAAAAAGTGGGGACACTCACCTCTTAGTCAGCCTGCACCCGAGACCTTAAAAGGTGTCAGTACCCCACCTGGTGGCAAAATGAAGAGAAGGCTGACCGGTTAAACCAACCTCCCAAACTCCCAGGGGACTCATGGCGACCCTACAGGACAGGCTAGAACTGTCCCAGTGAGTTTGCAAGCCTGGACCTCTCAACGGGAAGAGCACGCCTCATCTTCCCTCAGAGGTGCAGCTGGTGGTTTCCAACCACCGACCTTAGGTTAGCAACCCCAAGTGCAAGCCATCCACGCCACCACCAAGGCGCTCTCCAGAGGGGAAGTCCTCAGAGTTTGATGGTGGGAGAAAACCAAAAGGGGAGAGGGAGAGAAGGGTTGGTTAGAAGACCTCACTGATGCCACACACAACGCAGGGTTCACAGTTTTCCAACAAGAGTGGAATGTTTCTAGAGGACAGGAAAATGCTCGTGCAAAAATTGAAAAAGAAGAGATCCTTCCATTCAAAGCCATCTCTTTGATGTGGCTCTGGTTGGCAAACATGCACGTTGATCTGCATTCCCAAAGAAATCCTGGGACAAATAATAGTTGTTGTTTCCTCTGCCCAAAGAGCTGCAAGGAACATTCCCGTGAGGCCAACGTCATCTCTAGAACGGTGGAAACCTTGAGGGAGGCCCAGAGCAGCTAGCCTGGGTTGGATGGAGCTACTAAAGTCCAGGGTCTCCCATATCTCTGTTAAATGTATTTCTTTTCTGTCTCGTACATTTCATTCCTGCTAAAATAAACATTTACTTTCTATCTCAATGGAGGCGAAAAGCAGTGACACAGTTAAATAAATGCTGGCCCCTAAATAATGCCACATGCTTAATAAAACGATGGTAATGAACTTGAATCCACATCGACTCAGGGGCACTGTGTGAACAGCAGAAGAAACAAACAGTCTTTGGATAAGACTTGAAGGAGTCCATGCCATGTTACTGAAAGTAAAACTCATCTCAATAGGTCATGGTTAAGGGGCTCACACCATGAACCAAGCGTGGACTGAAAGTTTAATGCATCCACACCTCACAAAGGTATTATAATGCCAGTTTTACTGGTGAATAAACAGAAGAACCAAAGTATAAACACCTGGCCTGTACATGCATCAGAATCAACCCAACGGCAGTCTGTTCGGTTGTTGGTTTGAGTCGTGGAGTAGTGATCAGGAGCCAGGCTCTTAAACTCCTAACCCTGCCATCCGAGCCACAGACATTTCTGAGCACCTTCCCTGTAGGAGAAGCCTGGCCAGACCCTGGATGAGGAGGGTGTGCTGTGCATAGACAGGGCCTCCACTGTGGACAGTCCTCTGTGAAGGGGCCAGCTAAGAGCTGTGTTACAGGGAAGAAACCACAGACCTCTGAGCTGAAGAAGATAGAGAAGGTAAGGAGGAGTCTCCAGGCAAAAGACACTCAACCTGCCAAAGTCAAGGGGCTGACAGAGTTAGGGTCCTGGGTGGACTCTGGGGGGTGCTAAGTGAAGCTAGGGTATTGGCTGAGGAAAATACTGGTGAGGAAGACAGGAGTCCTCGGGAGGGCAGTGGTTAAGAGCTCTGCTGCCCTCTGAAATGTGGGTGGTTTGAATCCACCAGCCACTCCTTGAGTGAAAAGACTTGGCAGTGTGCTCTTGTGACAATGACAACCTAGAAAACCCTGGGGGCGGGGGGGAGGCTGTCCTCTGCCATCACATGGGGTCACTGTGAGTCAGAATTGACTGGAGAAGATCTAACAGCAACATGAACTTGGAGGGTAAAAGAAAAAAGCAAACATCTCTGATTTTACTAACTGCAAACTAAAAATCAACATTTCCGTCACTGACAAATTTAGTTATTAATCCACAGAAGTGACCTGACTTGGCATAAATAAAAACCAGAGATACATTACAGTTGCAAGTCAATCAAAATATGGTTTCGGGTGCATAAGCAATTGTGATGAAGAAAGATGATGGTACCCAGCTATCAAAAGATATAGCATCTGAGGTCTTAAAGCAGTGGTTCTCAACCTTCTTAATGCTGCGACCCTTTAATACAGTTTCTCATGTTGTGGTGATGCCCGTATGTGGGCATATCTGCATGTGGGCAGACCCACCTGGAGATGGATAGAGGAGCGGTGTCTTGGTTCCTAAGACCATCAGAAATATGGTCTTAGGTGAGCCCTATGAAAGGGTCATGACCACCAGGTAGAGGACCGCTGTCTTATAGGCTTGAAGACATACAAGTGGCCATCTAGCTGAGAAGCAACAACAAAGCCCACTTGGAAGAAGCAAACCAGCCTGTGTGACCATGGGTGTTGATGGGATCAGACATCAGGCATCGCAGACCCAGAACAAAAAATCATATTGATGGGAATGAGGGGGCAGGGGCATGGAGTGAAAACCCAAAGCCCATCTGTAGGCAACTGGACATCCCCTTACAGAAGGGTCACAAGGAAGAGACGAGCCAGTCAGGGTGCAGTATAGCACCAATGAAACATACAACTTTCCTCTATCAGGGATCCTCAAACTTTTTAAACAGGGGGCCAGTTCACTGTCCCTCAGACCCGTTGGAGGGCCGGACTATAGTTTTTTAAAAAACTATGAACAAATTCCTATGCACACTGCACATATCTTATTTTGAAGTAAAAAACAAAACAGGGCAAAAACACCCGGCGGTCTGGAAAAATATCCTCAGCGGGCCGCCCGTGGCCAGCAGGCCGTAGTTTGAGGACTCCTGCTCTAGTTCTTTAGTGTTTCCTACCCCATCTCCCCAACTATCATGACCTCAATTCCACCTTACAAATCTGACTAGACCAGAACATAGACACTGCTATAGCTAAGAGCCCACAACGCAGGGAATCCAATCCAGGACAGATAAACCCCTCAGTACCAACAATGAAAATAGAGATGCCAGGAGGATAAGGGGAAGATGGGCGGAGAAAAGGGAAATCGATCACAAGGATCAACATACAACCCCCTCCCAGGGGGATGAACAACAGAAACGTGAGTGAAGGGAGACAGAGGATGATGTAAGATATGAAAATAATAATCTATAATTTATCAAGGGTGCATGAGGGAGGGATGATGCGGGAGGGAGAGAGGGAAAAATGAGGAGCTGCTATCAAGGGCTCAAGTAAAAAGAAAATTCTCTGAAAATGATGATGGCAACATGTGTACAGTGTGCTTGACACAATGGACAAATGTAGGTGTTGTGATAAGAGCTGCAAAAGCCCCCAATGAAAGTATTTGATAAATAAATATAAGTCAGACTGGAGCTTTCCAGAGGAAGGGGGAGGCTGGCTGGGAAGGGCATAAGACATATATGTGGTTTCATCTATTCTTTGAAACGACAGAAATTCTCAGGCCTGCCATTAGATCTTGCTATGTAGCCCTTTAATACAGAAGAGTATGTGTCCCAATATCACCATTTACTCTTTTGATTGATAACAACTTAATTGATTTCCTCTGTAATCCTATGCCTTTTAAATGCATGCATTTAAGAGCATTATTCCTAAAAGAGATCCATTCATGTCACTGGACTCTTAAAAGGGTCCCTGTCTCACACACAAAAAAAAGTCAAGAATGACTGACTGAAAGGATGAGACAAACACACAGAAAATGCACTCTGGGAAGGGGGACCTGAGGACCAGATGGGCTTCCCAGGTGGTGCCAACGGTTAGCATCCCTAGCTGCTGACCAGAAGGTTGGAGGTCCTGCGAGCGGGCGTGGAAGAAAGCCTTGGTGACCTCCTTCTGAATCATCAGTCATTGGAAAGCCTGACACATACAAAGTCAGAGGGACCCTGGGGCCACTGGTGCTGGCACAAAACAGGGACCCAAAATTCTAACCCAGGACTCCTGCCACCTGCTTTTTCTGACATCC